ACTGAATTGCTTAATCGTAAAATTTTTGGGTGAAATTGCAATAAAAAATAACTTTGACCTTTGACCAAAATTAAAAGAAACAGAATGATTTAAGTTAATTAATTGCACTAATTAATTTAATTCAATGATTAATTAAACAGTAATTAATCATATTTATTAACCTTTAATTAAAATCATTAGATAAATCTAATAATTTCAAATTAAGATCAATAAAATGATTAATTTATTTTAATTAAAGTTAATTAATTTTATTAATCATGAACTAAACTAATTTACTTAATTAATTACTAATTATATTTAATATATAGTTTATATATATATATATATATTTAGATTGGGTCGGAATAACTAATCCAAAAACACGGTTCAAGCATGAAAATGGAGAAAAAGAAGATCAAACATGCAAACAAAGCATGAAAATTAGGGTTCACTTAATTTCCAGTAAAAAGATAAACACATCTATCAGGAAATAAACTGAACAATTTTTTTTTTCATTCATTTTCCAACAAAACACATACAATCTTAATATCAGATCTAAAAAGAACAAACACCCACAAAAAAATAAAAACAAACACGATGAATTTTTGAAAGAAAAACAGATCTGGATCTGAAGGAAGGAATTCCACCCACGAGATCAAGCTTCCACCATCTCCTTCACCATTTTCCTAACAAAAATTCTCTATCAAGAGGTATACCTAACGATAACCACTCCAGAAATGAAATCCCTTGTGCAACCTTGACAATCTCTTTACAAAAAAACAGACTCCTTCCAAAAAAATCCCTCCTTTTCTCCACCATCAACACCAGACTCAACCAAAAGAACCCCCTTCCTCCATTTCTAACCTAAAGCCCTCTATTTATACCCAAACACAAAAACCCTAAAAAGGGCATTCCTAAAAGGTTAAATGCTAATTTTGATCCCTCAACTTTATGAAGTTGCACTTTTTTGGTCCCTTAATTTTTTTTGCACTTTTTTGATTCCTTAACTCTAAGAAGTGCACAATTTTGGTCTTTCTGTCAATTAGCTGTGACGTGGCAGTTAACTAATTGCAAATGGCATTTTCTTTTAGTTCTTTTGATGATGTGGCAATGATATGTCTTATAATTAAGATATGGGGACAAATAAAAATGCCACATCATATTAATATTTATATTTTTAATAAAAATAAATAAATAAAACAATAAAATTACAATATTACCTTCTCCTTCCCGATCCATCTTCTTCCCCCTCTTTCTTCCTCTTTCTTTCTCTTTCTTCTTCTTTCTTGTTGCTGGGTTTGGTGGAATGGAACCCAGCAACTAGGGTTCGGTGGAACCACCAAACTTAGATTAACTAGGTCCATGGAACCTGTCGAACCCAAAAGCTGGGTTCAACGAAACCCAGCAACTGGGTTTGGTGGACCCAGCTAATCTAGGTTTGATGGAACCCAGATCTACTAGGTTTCCTCGAACCTAACTTTTGGGTTCGATAGACCTAGTTGATCTGGGTTCCATTGAACCCAGCAGCTCGGTTTAATGGAACCCTAGATCTATTGGGTTCCATACCCAAATCAATCTTGGCTTCTCTTCCTTTAAGAAACAGTTCTACAATAACTTAAAGAGATGTGTCCAGTTTCCTACAGTGCCTACGGTTTGATACAAACATAGTTGCTGCTAATCATAAGTCTAATCGTTAAGGAGACTTCAAAAAGCTCTTGAATATTGCACTCGATATTTCAACTAATGAACCTCTTATTGGTTCATCAAGGGGCAACCTGTTGTCATCTCCCACACCAGAAGAAATAATACAGGTTAGGCATGGCTTGCGTGAGAGCATTATTAATACCAGGTAGTTCTTGTGAAATTTTGCAATTTGGATTCATTTGTGTTTGTTTATTAAATTTAATTAGATAACAAGGAACGAGTGAAGATTTTTAGTGAAGCCTTATCTACATTCAACAAGTTTTTCATCTAGGTTCGATGGACCCAACTAATCTGGGTTCCATTGAACACATGCTTGGTTCCATTGAAGCCTTCCTTTGTTAAGTTCACCAGGTTTTTCATTCTTTTTTGGTTAAATGCTAAATTTGGTCCCCTCAACTTTATGAAATGCACATTTTTTGTCCCTCAACAAAATTTTGCACTTTTTTGATCCCTCAACTATACGAAATGCACTTCATTAGTCCTTCTGTTAATTTGGGCAGTTAACTCTACTTATGTGGCATTTTTTATATTTTTTTTGATGATGTGGAGAGCAAAATTTAAAAAGGTGATAATATGCACAAAACTTTTGCCATGTCATGCTACCGTGGCCAAAATGCGCCAAATCCGTCCAAATGGATCCCACATCACCACTAAGAATTGCTTCTTTGCCCATCTGTTACTGCTTTTGTTCTTTCCTGTTTTTTCCATTTTCAACATTGAAATCATTTAGACAATACTTAAAAAATATGAAGAAAAAAATCTCAAAAATCGCTCACAACAACCTATAATTTACATAATCTCTTAACAAACAAACATATAATAATAATAATAATAATAATAACAATAATAGTAGAGCTGGGTTCGACGAAACCCAGCAGATTTGGGTTTGATGTAACCCAGCAAATAGGTTCCATCGAACCCAGCTCAGTTCACTAGAACCCAGTTGCCCAAAAATCCCTCACAATAACCTGCAATTTGGATAATCTCTTGGCAAACAATCATATAAAAAAAAAAAGTAGAGCTGGGTTCGATGGAACCCAGGCGGGGTTCCGTCGAACCCAACAAATTGGGTTCGATGGCCTGAGGAAGAAAAGGAAGAAAGAAGCGAAAGAAAGAAAAAGAAAGAGAGAAAGGAAGAAGAAGGATTGGATTTTTTAATTTTATTTTTTTTAAATATAAATAATAATAATGTGAGTTGGCGTGAGTTGGCATGAGTTGTCATGAAAAAAAATTCCACATCAACACATTTTCAATTTGATTTTGTCACGTCATCAAAAAAACTATAAAAAATGCCACTTGAGCGAGTTAACGACCTAAATTAACAGAAGAATTAACAAAGTACATTTTGTATAGTTGAAGGATCAAAAAAGTGCAAAATTTTGTTGAGGGACCAAAAATGTGCAATTCATAAAATTAAAAGACCAAATTATTTAACCTACTTTTTTTCGTTTTCCATCCTCAGTTCTTAATAGGTTTTTCAAATTTTTGGAGTTAATTTATGTTCACATTTTCCTTTGTGATATGGCAAAAATTTTGTCCATGTCACCATCTTTTTAAGTTTTCTTCTCTATGTCATAAAAAAATATAAAAATATCACATGAATATGGTTTGATGCATTTCTTAGAGTTGAGGGATAAAAAAAGTGCAAAAAATTATTGAGGGACCAAAAAAGTGCAACTTCATAAAGTTAATGGACCAAAATTAGCATTTAACCTTCTAGAAAGGTTTAATACCCAATTTGGTCCTTAAACTTTCATTATAGAACTTAATTCATCCTTAAACTTCAGAAAGCACTCAAGTGGTCCTTTAACTTTATTTTCCTACAACCCAAATGGTCCTTCCGTTGATAGATTGCATACCTGGCACGTTTAAGTGTCCAACAATTACCATTTTTAATTTTTATAAGCTTACCTGGAAAAAACAACTCAACAAATTAATTACGTGGCATTATTTTCATTCCACCTCACAGACGATGTACAGCGGCTCTCCGACGAACCTCTCCCTTTTCTTTAGCTAGTTTGGTCATCCGATTCTGGAGAATGAGAATTGGACTGAATTCGCACTGGATTTGATTCGTGCGCTGGAAGAAACTCCTGACGGGACGAAAAGCTTGGTGGAATTCAACAGGTCATGTCAGAACAGAATAAATCCCAGAAACAAGTTTGCCAAAAAACAGACTTAATAATTTTAGCGTAAGAATTACACTTTCAATATATAGTGTGCATTAAAATACATAAATTTCTTTTTAATTTTATAAAAAAAAATCTGAAATCTTACCTCGAATTGAAAAAGCCAGTTGTCTTCTCCGGCGCCAAATCCTCTGTGGAGATGTTAGCCGGCAAACTCTGAATATTTAAAACTAAAAATTAAAAATAAATCAAGAAAAAAAAATACAAAACAAATTGCTCATCAATTTTTTTCAATACAAAATTAAAAGGCTTATAGGCTTCTTGAGCAACGGCATCTCGAACCAGAGTCATTCCAACCAGGAGGCGGTCCTCCGAGCAAACGCACGATGGCGCCGCAGTGCAAACTACGAAAACCAGTAATCTCAATAGCTCGATTGAATTCCCATTTATGGGGTGATATGGTTCTTATAAAAACAATGATCTTTTCAATTTTTGGTAAAGCAAAATAGATAGAGGCTAATAAAACAAAAGGCAAATTTTGTAAGAGGAATTTAATCGAACAACTGATAACCAGCAACAGTAATACCAAAGTAATCACCATATTTTCTTCTGATGTGATTCACTCAAAGCGGCCATCAGTGCAAGCGTTTCCCGGGGGAAATTAGTCTCCGGAGCCACCACTGATTCCAATTTGACTTCTTCAGTGCCCACATTTGCGAATCCGTTCTGGAATGAAATGATTGTCATTGCTAAAAGATCGATGACGAACTCAAGAAGAATGCCTGAACTGTTTAGAATCCGATTGGGCACCGTTGTGGTCACCTTATTCATCTTGGCGACGATATTCTGGCACCTGGACAATTCCCCCAAAGGGGTTCAAGAACGAATTGGGTTCTTCGCCTTCGCCATGTCCACCAACTTCTACACCTATGCTGAAGCCATCCCTGTTTTCCTCCAAGAACGCTACATCTTCATGAGAGAAACAGCTTACAATACCTACCGCCGACCATCCTACGTCCTCGCCCACTCCATAATTTCCATCCCTTCCTTAATCGTCCTCTCCATCTCCTTTGCCGCCATAACTTTTTGGACGGTAGGACTTGCCGATGGCTTCCATGGGTTGCTCTTCTTCTTCCTCACCATCTTCGCCTCCTTCTAGGCCGAAAGCTCCTTCATCACATTCCTCTCTGGCGTCGTCTCCCATGTCATGCTTGGATTCACTGTAGCAGTCGCCATCCTCACCTACTTCCTCCTTTTCAGCGGCTTCTTCATCTCCCTCGACTAAATCCCCTTATAGGCGAAAATGTGAGGTGGAATGAAAATAGTGACATGTAATCAATTTGCTGAGTTGTTTTTTCCATGTAACCTTATAAAAATTAAAAGTGGTAATTGTTAGACACTTAAACATGCCAGGTATGCAGTCTGTCAACAGAAGGACCATTTGGGTTACAGAAAAATAAAGTTAAAGGACCACTTGGGTGCTTTCTAAAGTTAAAGGACGAACTAAGTTCTATAATGAAAGTTTAAGGACCAAATTGGGTATTAAACCTTCTAGAAATAACTCTCCGGACCATTTGGATCCATGGCTTTTGGGCTTCTCAAATATGTTTCTCCTTTACTAGAATCTGCAAAGATGCATT